ATCATATCTAGTAACCCATGGCTACTTTGCCTCAAGAGATAGTAAATGATGACATTCAAGTTTTTCTATTTGAACAACCTGTTTGTATCTACCAATTTAGTACTTTTCTTTTGGCTCATTTAGTAACCTCTAAGCATCTAAGCATCCAAGTAACCTCTCTATTTGAATCTATGATTCTAGTGTCACAAATCATAGGACACTTTCTAATAGTTCACATACTTATTGGACTCTAAATTCACACCCTAGTCTAGTATCCACTAAAAATGAGTCTTTCATGTTACTAAATGATATTGACCTATTGTTAATCTAATTTTTCTCTTTGCAATGTGTTTCATGTTCCTCATCTATCTATTTGCCTATTATCTATTAGTCAATTAATCAATCTTGCCCATCATGTTATATTTATATCTGAGTAATATTGTGTTGGATTAGTAGACTAGAGAGCAGATTAGGATAGGTTGTAGAGTTAAATATTTATATTAGTTTGAACAACTTCACATCCCAACATCATATCAACTATGTCAAATGTTTTCTCCTTTCTACCGATGACACTTTCATCTCAGTCATGTCTACCTCTTGACTACAAATTTTGATTATTGATAGGGGTCTTAAGAGTTTCTACTACATGTAAAATCTATTAGTTAATTATAGATGGAAACTTACGAAATTGGTAGTTTGACCTTTTTGAACCTTTAACTACTTTTAACTTTACTTCTTTTGACTTAATTCATTATGATATTTAGGGTCTTGCTCGAACTACAAAGAGTGAGTCTCATTATGATTTTGTCTTTATTGATTACTTCATACATTATATTTGTGTGTTTCTTATGCATAATTTTTCTGACTTATTTCCTATATAAAGTTCTTTATTATTATGAAAAAAAACATAGTTATATAAATTAATTAAAACTTTAAGTTTTGATTTATTATGCAAACCTTCTTGCTTTAGAATAAATTATTCACCAAACCTCATGGCCTTTTAGATGTCAACAAAATAAGAAAATTGAATGTAAACATTGTTGTTTTATTGAAACTATGCATTCTTTCCTCCTTTCTAATTCTGTACGTTCTCTATTCTAGGGAGAAATTCTTATAACTCTTAGGTATCTTATAAGTCACATTGAATCTCATCTTACTGTTGGTTATCTCTATTTGAATCCTTGTATAATTTATGTCCTAAATTCTTCACTTTGTGTATTTGGGTGAACTTGTTGTCTTATTTTCTACAAATGTACTAAGTTATCATCTTGCTCATGCGTATTTTCCTTGGATATACCTTGTCACAAAAAAAGATATCGATATTATGATCCAATTTCTCACTATTTTTTCACATCATGTTGTGTTCTCTTTTTTAAGCATATTTTATAATATCTCATTCCTAAATATTTATCTTACATAAAAAGCTAATACTACTAAAACACTATTCATTTGATTCATTCTTAGATACTTTCAATCCTTCTCTTCCTTTTAGTTTATTTGATAAGCTCACTTCACCATCTCATGAAGAAAGAAGTATTACAATGGAAGATAACTTGTCACCTCTTCTTACTCAATTTATTGACCCCCTTGTTCTTTTTTTAATCTAAACATTGTACTCTTCCTACTCAAAATCATTGATTCTGTACTCAATATGTGTCCCTTACTTCCATTTACTCTCTCTTTTTTTTCATTTGTTTCTATTATTCACTCTTTTATTGAGCCTAAGTTTTTTAATGAAGCATCTTTATATACTAATTGACAATGAGCAATGTTAGAAGAGCTTGATGCACTCTACCAAACTAGCACCTAGGACCTTATTCTATTTTTTTCACACAAGTGTGCTATTCATAACACATTTACAAAATCTTATCAAGTCAAAACTATGGCCGATAGCTTTTCATAAGAAAATGATCTCAACTATGAAGAGGTTTTTCCTCTTGTAGCAAAATTGATGTTTATTCATGTCTTAATATTTGTTGCTACATCTTGCAAATAACCTCTATATAAACTTTATGTGAAAAATATCTTTCTTAATGGAGATCTCTTTCCTCTTGGACTCTCTTGCCCTACATGTTATATATGTTGTCTTTATCATGTATTCTATGATGTTAGAAAAGCTCCTTTGGGCTTGTTATGAAAAATTTAGTATTACTCTTCTTCAGCTTGGGTTTTTTATCTCTACTTATGACTCAACTTTATTATTAGTTCTTCTTCTCATTTACATATCATTCAGTTATTATTTGTGGATGACATGATCATATAAAGTGATGACTTATAGGATGTTAATCACATCAAAACTAAATTTCATGATTAATTTGATATGAAAGATCATTCCTAACCTTTCATATTATTCAATGTATTGATCAAGTATATTTTTCTTATAAACTTACAATTGATACTCTATTTGACTTGAACATTAAACTTTCTCCTCATTATGACACATATTTTGAGGATCTATTTTATAATTAAGAGATTATTGGATCACTTGTTTACTTTTTTGGAACTATAGGGTCAGGTGAAACACCAAAAAGGAGGTGAATTGAGCTTATGAAATTTTTATTTATTTTTTGATTTAATTTAGACCTATGTATATATGTTGATAGATGTGTGAATGCAAATGTTGTGGAAAAACTTCTCATCACTCTCTCACTAAAAACATCAAGCTTTTTATACTGAGTTGCCTCCCTCTTAGCTAGTTTTAGTACTAGAGACAACTATCCTTTATATTCACTTATTGTCCTTGGAAATACATATTAATATTTACGAGGTCAACCACCCAAACAACTCTAGTCTCTTTAGAGACCTTGCCCAACTTGAACCAAATATAGCTACCAATAATTTGTACCTTCACCCAAAACACTCTCCCCTCACCACTTAGTTATCTTAGGATCTAATAAAGAACAAAGGTTGTGTCCCACAACTCTTCTTTAATAAATAAGCCTTTGTCTTGTATTATATTTCTTATTTTATTAGATCTTCAACATTCAAAATCTATATTTAAAGCTTTGTCATTTTTCAAAATGCACATTAACAACATTGAACTTTCTAGTTTTCAAATCTCTTTATTCTTGTGGCTAATTCCATTCAAATTTAAATTAAAAATTTCTTAACTAGATAGAGAATAGTTAATTGTTTACCTCATATCTAAATCATCAAGTTTACCCTTACCTTTTGTCCATGTAACCAGCTAAGATGTCATTGTGGAGATGCTATTTTAAACTTAAATATCTCATTCTTTTTTCCATTTTCTTGATTGACATAATGTATGTAATATCTTCGAGAATAGGTCTAACATCATTTTGAAATGTTAAACACTACATAATATAGTTAGGTAAATATATAATGAAAAATAAGATATTTGACTTATATCTATTTAACCACATATTTAACATTTTGTTCCAAGATGATTTTTTAGTTGATAAATCTTTATTCGAAAATAATCAAAAGATAGAAAATGTCTTATATCAAAGATTAATACCTTAGATTTGATTATTACTGATACACTTATAATCATTTAATAAAGAAAATTGATACCATAATTTTATTGAATATTAAACATTTTCAACATATACACATGTATAATCACTTATGGATAAGTTTTTATTCATAATTATCAAAAACCAAGGGCATCAATATATCAGATAGTCACATATTCAAATGTTCAATTTGCAGTGCATATTGTTAGTCAATTCTATTTTAGCTCCTTGCTCTACTCATTTAGTTGCCATCTTATGTATCCTTCACTATCTTTGTGGTACATAGATTTATAGGCATATTTTATCTTCACATTCCTCATTAATTCTGTGTTTTTTTATGCTGATTAGGTTTAATATATTATTTATTCTTGTTGATTATTTTATTTTATAGAAGAGTAAGAAATAGGATGGTATTACTTGTTTTAGTATTGAACGAGAATGTAGAGCTAGGACATCCATTGTGATGATAAAAGTGGAGTTCATATTGCTCACACAATTTTTCATGAGTGCTCGAAACATATTGAGATCATTATTATTGTATTTGGCATCATCTTCAACTTGAGACTCTCATGTTACTTTATGTTCAATCTTCTTTACAGTTGAATGTCTTTTTTCACAAACTCGTACTATATCTTGGTTTCAATTTCTTTTAAACAAACTCTGGTTTATTACCTCATTGTGAGTTTGAAGGGGGGGTGTTAGAGCAATAGGCCCATTAAAACCTATCAAACTAACCTTATGCTAACCCATTTACCCATTTTATAAATACCATAATTTAGGGCACATTTTGTGCTGACGATTTGGCACATTTTTTTCATCTTGGTGGTTCCTATCCCTTGCCCCCTTTTGACTTCTCTACCTTCTCTTCTCTCCTCATTTGTTCCTCAAATTAACATGGAGAATGTTAGAGAGTGGGAAAAGCCTTGAAAGGAGATTTTGTGAGAGAAGAAGAGAGGTGGCTCCACTTCTTTTATTTCTATTTTCGTTTCTTCTTGAAGGGGAAGATATTCAACATTAGGTTAAGAAATAAGATTTAAGGCAACTGTAAGGTTCTCTTTCATTTTTTTCTCTATATTTAGTTATTTTTATAGAAGAGGGAGTTCTCTTAAACCTTTGTTCATCACTCTTATTTAGTGTTTACTGTTTTAATTATAAGCTAATCTATCCATCTTTGTAATCAATCTTATCTTCGGATGTCTTGGACACATCCAAGGCAACAGCTGTGTTTTCATCACCTTTTAGTTCTTTTCCAAGTTATTTAAATGACTGATCTCACTTGCTTTTCTTAAAAATAATAAAAATCAGGTCCTATTTTATTGGGTTTTCTCGAAAGGAATTGATTTTCTTTGCATTTCTTAAAGTGGGCCGGTCCTATTTTATGGGTTTTCAAAGGACTTGATTCTATAATACTCTGTTGTCAGGGGTGTATTTGAAAAATATACAGACGTGAGAAGACGGCACAGGGGAAGTGACGGCGTGGGCGGCGAGGAGGTCTTCGTGTTCCTCCGGTCTGCAGAGAGGCTCTCCTCCGATCGGGTCGCCGTCATGGCATCGCTGGTCTCGCTGGCGTCGTCCCTGACGGGCAGCCGCTACGCCGATGGCCTCGTAGTGGTGGGGATCTCCTTCGGCACGGCCGTCCTCTGCGAGATCATCTCCTGGATCCTAATCTACCGGACCTCCTCGTACAAGTCCCTCCGCTCCTCCATTGACAAGGCCTCGAAGAAGCTGGAGACCATGAAGAACTCGTCCTCCTCCGGCGGCGGATCTGTGTCCGTCGTTGTCAAGAAATCCTCCAAGAACAAAAAGATGGATCGGGTGGAGTCTAGTCTCAAGGAGTCCACACGAGATCTGTCCCTCTTCAAGTTCAAATCAGGGGCCGTTGTCGCCGTCGTCCTCTTCGTTGTGTTCGGCCTCCTTAACTCGCTCTTCGACGGCAAGCCCGTTGCTAAGCTCCCCTTCGCGCCTGTATCTCTCGTTTACAAGATGAGTCATCGGGGGCTTCCCGGCAGCGATCCTACCGACTGCTCCATGGCCTTCCTCTACCTCCTCTGTTCCGTCAGCATCCGGACCAATCTGCAGAAGTTCCTCGGCTTCTCCCCGCCTAGGGGAGCTGCTGGTGCCAGCCTGTTCCCGGTACCTGATCCCAAGATCAGCTGATGGACTACACGAATTGGGGCTCCTCCTTGGTTAGCTCAAGGTAGGATTAAGGTGGCATTAGGTTCTTGTATTTCAGAGGAGGCCTAGGTCCTGTTACGCTATTTTTTTTCTTCCGCAAGCTTTTGTAGTTTTCAGGATATTATCTGCTGCAACAATGGTCTTCCTGGAGGGCCGCTTCTCCATTTGTGACGTTTTATTTTTTCACGACGAATTTAACATTTGAATAAACTCAAACCTGCTTGATCTATTCCAGGGCTCTTCTTTCTTTCGTTCGATCAAAATATGAATCATGCACATTATCCCATCTGCTAGAGATGATAATTGGCAGCAATTGTTGCTAGCTGTAGGGGGAGCCAAGGGGCCTCGAAACGAAGCACGGCAGGATACCATAGTTTGTCTTGATCCTAGGAATCGTACGATGAAACACATATTTTTCTTGCCATTGGAGACCTTTTTTTTCAGCCACCAGGATTCAAATTACCTCAGGATTGGGGTTGCCTTGTGGTGTTTGTATGGTCCATTAACAACCTATGATCTGACTGCCTGGAATCCTCAGCTTTGGGGTAGAATCCCGTCTCAACTCAGAGCTCTGTTCTAACTCTTCTGTTGCCGTCTCAACCTGAGAAAACCATCTATCTATCTATACGAAGGCAGGAGTAGACTCTCAAAGGTACAGAGGCTATTTAACTATGGAAAATTTTCCTTAGTTTTTTTCACCATGCAGTAGAATAAAACATGTACAATCATGGCTCGGGGGAAAGATCAGGCCTTTAGCCCTTGCGAAATTAGATGAGATTGTGCCTGTTTGGAATTCAGTAGCACTGATCACCAAAGACCTCATATACGCAGATGTAACCAGCCCAAACGTTGCTGTAGCACTCGAGCTTTTATTCGCGACAAAATCTTCAAGCCCATCATGTACCATTTTTCCTAGCAAATGGCCTACCGGCAGGGCTTGCTCAGAATGCTCTCCGGAAACCAAGTGAATGCGCATCATATCACTCGTCTCCCTCACTCTGTTCCTGCTCTATGGATCACCCTTTCACATTATTTTATATCGTCCGTTGAACATCATCCTTAAGTGGGCCCCTCCTTTTAACCAGATCCGGCAGATTCCGGGAAGATCCATCCGGCTTCTTCCCTGCCTTATCCTTTTACTCTTCTTCGGAGCAAGTGAATGATACTGGGCTTTTTGTTCTTGATCCAGAAGGAGGTTGGGATCTGAGGCTGATTGATCGAAAACTGGCCGAATTTGCCCATCACCATAATAGAAAGAAGGGTGCGAGGTAAACCCACATCACCAGGAACATACGCTTCAGGACCGACTACGGCAAACAGGTGGAGAATTTCTCCACCAAAACATGGCGGCTCTCTAAAGAATAGGTAAGGCGAAAGCTTGGCAACAAAAGGGGGAAAAAAATTACAATGTGAATGAATAGTTTTCCTGATGGGGAAGGTGTGGCAGCTATGCAGTGTGGCTGCTTAGAGGGTTTCGACTGACGTGTGAGATCCGCGAGGAAGGAAGAAGGGGGGCTTCTTCCTCTGCCGTGTAGTCTCCGCTGGTGGTTGCTGTGTTGCTCCTGTTCATGCTGTCGCTGGAGAACAAGTCCGACGATCTCTTGTCCAGCCTCCAATCCTGAACAAATTTAAGAACCCACGTTAAAATGGGCTAACAGATATATTCGTCATCAGAATAATACGGATTGGAATTAATCGACATTGTTGTCCAAAGAGATGACATAAAAGTTTAGAGGAAGAAACAAAAAGAAATCGAGATCACATTAAATAAAAAATTAGGTATTTAAACGACCATTCAGGTAAATAAAAAAATGCTCGATGTGACACTTTACATTACTAGTAGAATTTTTTACTAAATGTGCACCCTTTTTTCGATTGATTTTATCTCTAAAGATTCTATCATGCTCCTACTGATCTGAAAAACCCATAAAGTCTAGGCACAAATAGAAAAGAATAAATAAAAAGGAAGTATACTACAGAATCACAACAGTCCATATAGAATGAAAAGGAGCCTCTAGACGAAACATCCACACCATATGATTGTTCTTCCACGAATGAATGGATGAACCAAAAGATTAAATGAAATGGCACTGAAGAACGATACGAAAATCTACGAAATAGTTCTTCTGGCGGCAGAAAAGAATATTTCTTATTGGGTTCGGAAAATATTCCGATGAGATCAAAGCAGAGCAGCTCCAGAGTATGACCTTCGTTGCTCTTTCTGGAATATTTTCATCTGACGCTTGTCCTGATGCACCAACATCCTTGACTTTCAGGTAGTTGTACATGACAACACCACACAGAGCTACAAGGAATGGTTACAAAAGCAGTAAGATAATTTAAACTTTATAATCAAGTTCAAAAAAACGATATACATCAGATTAAAGAGGAACTGTACCGATTGCATAGCCAATAATGTTGAGCCCGGTAATGGCAGATTCTGGAAATATAATTGTCGAGAGAGCAATCAGTATCCAGTCCTTCAAAACTCCAGCAACACGGATGGTAACTGCTCCAGTTCTACCGATTACTAAAAATATGGAGAAGTTCAATGCCAGCGCACATAGAGCGTTTGAGAAAAACGTCCAAAAATTGAACTGAATCTGGGAGATTTCCATTCCTGGTTTCTCCAACATGTACCATGGCGCAAACAGAAAAAGAAAACTGCAGAGAGAAAATAAGTAAATATAAGTTGTCCCAGTGTTGCAGGCTCCACGAAAGGGGGGGGGGGTGCTCTGCGCACGTATGATCGATACAAAGTAAGATAATTTGGAAGGCAAGTCTGGTTTACTAGCAACAATGAATTCGATAAAAAATATGCATAGATACCGAAGACTGCAGAAGAAATCATGCCAGTGCAACGATAACAATGAATAGAGAAGAAACGGTCAAGTATGATGCTTTCCAGGAAAGATAGCCATGCAGGAACATACAAAGTACCTAATGAGGATTCAGATCAACAGTGAGAGTCTTCTCATCAAGAGCATACGATACAACAAAATAATAATCAGCCATGGCATAGGTTCATAAAGGCAGCCTCAGACATGTCATCAAATTTGATTTCTAAGAATCTCCTTGATTTAGAAAAAAAATAAAATCAGTTCAAACTAGAAAACACTACCATTTGGGCAGTTGTTAATACTTAGATGCATTCCCCGATCGACATAGCTGACAAGGTTCATCCCAATTAGAAAATAACTGTATATTCACTGAAACATAGGTGCAAATTAAAAACCTTCATATTGCTTTATTTATGTCGCTGCCAAAACACTTTGTTGCGAAAAGAGGATGCCATATTTGGCAAGGCTGGTGCATTCTTGGTATTAATACGTGATAGAAGTATCTAAAGATTACACATGACGTTGGGAGCTTTCAACAAACGACCAAATAATTGGAAGATAAAGATGAAGAATACCTGCAGGGCGCTATGTAATACAAACTGGTCACCGGATTTAGGGTTAATCCTTTCTTTTGGAGGAGGACTTGAGTTAGGACTAGTCTAAGAGCTTCTGCAAATATGCCTGACACCTGGTAAAGTGTTCCGATCACATTAAAGTGAATCTCGCCATATGAAGAGACGACTACTCCAACACTGATGAGGAGCATGTTCAGGAACAAATCACACCTTAACTTGTCAGTGCCACAAATAACAGACATGAGGAATGTTGCCACTGGCACTGTACACAAAAGAAGAGTGAATATTTGGCTTTAAGGGGATTAAGGCGAAATAAAAGACGAGTTTAGACTACCTACTTAAAGCTTTGAGCATCTGGATAAAAGCAACTGAAATGTGCAAATAAGCGGTGTTGCCAAACCTGCAGCCGAAGATACGCCTTGTTACCATGACATGTCATGAACTAAAAAAACCAATGGCAAATCATAATTGAAGTTTGGCAATCATAAAACCATAGGTAATAGCACGAAAAATCATAAAAATAAGAATTTTATTTTAACTGGGAACTAGCGTAGCTTACACGTAAGATCAAAACAAATAATGTAGTTTCAAGCATTAGTATTCTTGAATCCTTGGATTCTAGATTGGAAGCTTAAATAGACTATAGGGAAAATAAATAAGGAGATGAAATTTTCTTTCAAAAGATGTAGTTTGAAAGCCTGAACACCAGAGCATCCACCCCCCACCCACAACACACAGCACACACCCCAACACTAACGATTTTGATGCTCAAATAAACATCAAGCAGGCGAGATTCTGCCCTTCAGTTAATGGCGTGTTCCATCCTTTTCTCATGCCCAGAAAAACATAGATCTGGCTACAATCAATGTCTTTCATTTAGGGAAAAGATTAACATATGCAGTTATTGTACAAGTAGGTCGCAATATCATTAGAAACAAAATCAAAGAAAAAGGAGTACAGTCATCAGTTGAAGAAAAAAAGAGCACAGTCAAACAAAGGCGACTGACAGGTGGTCCAAAATGCAGAAATGTACAATCACTTACCATAGACTGGATGCAAAGAAAGCACTTATTGGAATCACGCATGTTACATATCTGGAATTGGAAAAAGGTTCATTACAAAGTGAAACATCACATTAAATGAAGGAAAAATAAAATGTCATAGTTCTTACATCTGGAAAGTCATCTTCACAGGTGCCACAACCTGCCAATACCAAGATATCAGAATTTCAATGGAACGTAGTATTTTATAGTTCATAGATCGATGACTTGTTCTAAAGTAAAGAAAGCATTTTCATTCCGTGGCTGCAAACAGAATAACATGTGTTGATATAGCATCTTAACCAAATTGGATGCGGATATTAAGTGAAAAACAGTGAACAAGACAAGCACCATGCATCTTGCTATGACACTGTGTTGTGACGTTGTTCTTAATTGTTTCCTATCATTGAAGCGTTTCATTCATTCAAATATCCATTTTGAATAATTCAATATATTCCGTCGATTATGTATATCTGGAGTTTTCTCACTAGCTGCAATCAATATTAATAACATTTTCCGAAGAACACCATGAACTGATTGCAAGTATCATTTATGAAATTACATCATAGAACCATTCAACTCAAAAATAATTCTGAATGACTAGAGTGTCTCTCTATATAATCGCATGTTTTCTTTCTATAAACCAATACAAAACTTTATTAACACGGCATTACATGTGTACGTTGACTTTTTGGGCTAGTCAAGTGAATAACATAAATCTATGCGTGAAACTCGACCAACCATCAGATCCAACGCCATCTTAAACTTCATCATTCAAAATAAAAACTAATGAACAAGCAAAAAATTCTTTTTATGGCTAGCGTGGGACTGCTCTTGTAACATGACCAATGAATAAATTGTTGCATTTCATTTCGCTAATATTGTTTATAATTCAAAAAAGTATTGTGACATCACACTGAAGCAGATGTAAAATAAATTGATGCACATTAAACAAAAAGTGGATTGTAATCTTTTTAAGTTTATCAACTCAATTAGGGACGATATAAAGGTAATTTAAGCAATTGACCATATTTTGATCCATTGCAGGATTCACTCAGGATATTGACCCACTTGATTTGCCAAGTGAATATTTGACACCAATTTTATATTTAGCCAATACATAGTTGACCGACTGATGAATTTTCACGTGAATTTCATGCATTGCTAGATTGGCTCGAATTGTATTTGCTCCACCTTTCGAAATGCCTAGTGGGTTTGGGCAAATTGTTGGATTAGCCCAGAGACTTAGTCTGCCAAATTTTTGGATCTGTCCATTGGGTATATGGCAAATTATTGGATTTGACTGATGGCTGTTTCATCAAACGAATGGATTTGCCACGCAGATACATTTGGATCAATTATTGGATTTTTCCATGAGGGTACTAAGTAACAATCAGATTTGCACGACATCCTTGATATCCACATTTTGCCCAATAAATTTCTAGGCCCAATAAAATCTAAAATGCAATTGGGTTGGCAAATTTAAAGACTACGGAGGAAAAAGACATTCAAAGTAAATAAAAATCTGCTACTGATCGTTATTGTACGTTTATAGATAAATCTGTAGAAAAAGGGCACAATTGCATGACCGTTCGTCAGTCTTAATTATATCACACCCCACCTTGTTCAATACCCAATTCCTAAACGACAATGACATTTGATACTTACTCATATTTGAAGAGAAAGATGAAGCAGACAAACCAGGGGGCCAAACTACGACCGTTTTCAGTTGCTTCCACTTTCCCATGCTCCTTTCGTTCTCCACAACTCGACTGCCAGTAGGTGGTGCTTATGACAAGTAAGAACAAGGGCTCATTCGAGTGGTTGGTTGCCTCTTAGAGTGTCTGGTTAGCAGGGAATCGTTTGACCAAAGAGAGATTGACCAATTTCTTTCCTATGTCATCATTAGGTTTCCAGAATAATCAAAATTATCCCTTAAATTCAGACAGAGGACACCAAATTCCTCTCTAAATTGATTGCTGACTTTTCCAATCGTGCCGCTAGCAGCATCTTAACTGCTATTCAAAGTTGCATACGAGATTGCCACAAAATTTTCTTGATTATTAGAATGTTTAATGTATCCCTCTTGAAAAGGTAATATGGATGGAAAATAAACTCTTAACAGGGGAGAGTGAACATACCTTAAAAACGCGAACCAAAAGGAATGCCACCACACCAGAAAATCCCATGTGAATCATAGTAAGCGTAATTGGAAATGGAAAATTAAAGTATTTTGGTGATAGAACCCACTGCAAATGAGTCATTCAATTAAATCTGTTAGAATCCAACTTACATTGATTATGAAGCAGCTTCAGCATGTTGATTATGAAAGGACTGTTGAATATAATACTTATAGACAATGTGTGAGACAAGGAAGCATAGAAAATTCAACAAGATATGTAAGCCTTCAACAAACATATGCAATCATGGTCAAGATGAAAAGAACAGCGGCAGCTTCAACAGAAAGTTCAGCCAGACTGAAATTGACAACTTGAACCATCGAAAGACAGATATCACTACATAAGCAAGCAAATAAACAAACCAATATAGACACCGTGTCATTAATACATTATAAAATTTCACTTGACTCTCATAAACGCACTTCAAATCAATGATCAAACTACATTTCAATATATCAAAAACGTGATATATTTTTGATGTAAAACAAATCGCATGGCATTCACAAATAGATCGACACATGTGTGGAGAATAATTTAAAAACCATGAGCACTTTGGTTAAGTTATATGAAAAGACTGCGCTAAACAAATGAATGTCCTCATTCCATCTATTCACCAGTTGGATCACAACAAGAAATCAAATGTGATTCAATATTATTTCATTGTCTCGCCAATTTCAGCTCGTCTGCTTCTAGAAATATTATAACTCAGGTTTCGCTAGATCATAAGGGCATAGCTTGCCGCAAAAAATGTCAACCACTCTTGTGTTTAATTACGAAAAGTATGTCCAAGAAGAAATATTAAGGTTCCTACGGACCTACGAAATCAACGACCAACAGTTGTACTACAAAAACTACTACATTCAATGGGCTGATCTCTATAATCCATGGTTGCATCTTACTGACTTCAATTATCTTACGATGTCTGCCAACTGCCCACTTACCCAAGGTTATTATAGAAACCCAGGGTGAGAGAGGAAGAAACTGGAGTGAACATCCCACATTATAAGAGTATTTTCAGAATTAGGGAGCTGTGAAATTTCTAACTTGCTCCATTTTCTCAATAATTTTTCATACCTTAGAAGAATAAATTATGTGGACAAGTTTTGTTCCATGTTGGAGGTTTCTAATTTGGAATCAATTTCAAAATTGGCCCTAGAATATAATGTTTCTTGTACATTGGATCCATCAAACCATAATCCAAAACAAGATAATCAATATTTTGTGTTTCAATAAGAATAAGATCACACATGGTCCACACATTACATCTTCTAATTCTATCAAGTCGGCAAATCTCTTTAAAGTCAATTCCGAGGGATACCTGCATATCATTTGTAATTTAATTGTTCAAACAAAGCCTCTCAAAGGGAATGTAATTTCACCAAGTTGAACTACTATAGGCAAATATTTAACAATATTGCGTTCCATCTCTCTCATTTTTAAGCTTCCTCATGTGTGATGAAATCCACATTCCCTTTTTAAGAAAAAAATTGATCTTCTTCAGTATTTAAATCTTTCTCCTATATTATGAAAACTAATAGTGTGCCACAGACAAGTTCATTTAGAGTATGGTAGGAAATGATTTGATAATAGCTCAGATTGGTAACTTTATCTTATACTGCCAAATAAACAGCACACATTATCCGAACCTGCTGAAAATGATTTTACATCTCAAACTTTGAGGCTCTCGACATGAAGGAAACTCTGCCCTTTTGATAATGATCTTCAAAAGTAGAAGGGCAAATCTGCCTTGAACCAACCTCCAAGAGTCTGCTAAAAAACCCTTGTTTTTATCTGATTCCATGATACCTTTGTCATTATTCTTCTTGATTTTATCCTAATTCATAAATCTGGATCTTTCTTGATTCTGCACACACCTTTCTAGAAAAAAATTGCATTCCCTTTTCAATCAATTCAGTGAGAATAGGTGGCTACATAATCATGAGGTTCCATCGTGCATCAATCACAATAAGCATTCCATTTACTCTACTTGATCCTTGTGATTGTTGTTTCATGTGTAAACCCTATCCCAGAGCTGTCCATAAAAACAAGATAAAATCACCAAGAGACATACTAACCTGAATGCATTCCCTAACTTCAATCATATATACATGTATATATATATATATATATATATAATTATATGTATAGCAAGAGGCAGGATGATCCCTTTCCAGATAACTCCAATTGGCATTTGAATCTATCTGAAGCACACTAAAGTAGTATTATCTGAGTTTTGATGCAAGATTGGACACAAAAGAGACCAAGCATAGTCATCCTTCTTCTTCTTGGAAAAGTTGAAGGACTGACTAAACAGGTGTATCTTATCCATTACAAAGGAAATAAAGATCATAACTACCATTCCAAGATTGAAGGATTCAATTACCATTTGTGAATATGGACCTCCAAATCGGATGAGTTCAATATCATCACCTAATCAAGGTTGAATAAGCCAAATGGTAACATGAAAGAAGGAACCAGATTGACTCCACGATGAGTGCTTGATTTTCACGCAAATAAAATATATTATATGTATGTTTATTTTTATTAAGAACTTCCCTTATCTAAAGAATACATTTAGTTGACATAGAAAAATTATGGAATCCAGAAAATCAAAATAATTATAATCTGCATCATTCCCTAAACAGAGTGATTGCATCACTGAACCACACAAAAACAACAAGGTAGCCATATAATGTGGACCAAAGAAACCCATCATATGGGTGGTCAAAATGCAAGTAATGTCTCATGACATTACTTGCATATAAGTCAGATTTTTAAAGCTTAAGTGTAGACAGATCACTTCTCCAATTAACACTATAGAATTTCATCACCTGCCAGTGAATATCATGGTCATGGACTTTTTTCTGAAATCATAGTTAAGGCTGAGAAAGTGTTATTCACAATCCCATGAGGTAATATGAGACCTAATTCACTTGTATCTACATCATCTGGGTTAAATCGTAGACTTCAACAAGAATATGATATTTCAAAGACTACAAGGAGTAAAAGTTTTATATGATTCTTTTTGACCACCCATATCTTTATCATTTCTATTGTCTCATGACATTACTTGCATAATGTGGACAATAAATATTCTTTTTGAGATATGCAAGTAATACTATGAGATAATAAAAATGATAAAGATATGGGTGGTCAAAAAAAACCATATAAAACTTCTACTCTTTATAGTCTCTTAAAGATTATATTCTTATTGAAGTCTACGATCCAACTCAGATAATGTAGATACAAGTGAATTAGGTCCTATATTACCTCACGAGATCGTGAATTACACTTTCTCAACTTTAACTATGATTTCAGAATAAGGTCTATGACCATGATATTCACTGGTAGATGATAAAATCTTATAGTGTTAATTGGAGAAGTGATCTGTCTACACTTAAGCTTTGAAAATCCGACTTTCGAGAATTATTTACATAATTTTATCTAAGAAACAAGAGGCTATAAACAAAGACCTCAAGATCTATCACAAGTATGTGAAGATGAAACTTATGCACTACAACTAACTTTCCTCCAAGGTAGAAATCAATTTTCATAAAATTATAGCCTTTGGGGGCCTAATTCCATTAAGAATCAAAGAAAATAAAAACAATAATGATTATCTCAAACTCAGGTGTAAATGATATACAAATAGGAATGTATAAAGATATTTTACCTTGTTATATAAAATAACTCCTGAAGAAAGCAGTATGTAAACCAAGAGATATAAGTAGGTCAGCATATGTTGATTGTTGATCATCATGTCTGTTTAGTGTTTCACAATGTTGCCACGTTTCAAGTATCTGATAGACTCACTCTATAGCCACAAACCGTTTTAGTTTTATGAAATCATACGAATCCCAAGGTTGTATTGTTGCACCCACAAGGAAAATAACGTTGTACACAGAATACTACATTCCCGATATCAGCAAAAACGATTGGTATTGAAGACCATGACTTTGTGTCTGCAAATGGAAAAAAAAAAATAGAAATAATCAACAGCTATATTGTAGCCTTGAACAATACATCTTAAACTGAAGAAGGGAAGGTATTCAGAATGTAAAACTAAGTCAAAGAACAATAAAAACAAAATAAAAACAGATACTACAAAATCTTATGATAACGGGACACAATTAACAATGGTCTGTTAAAAGTGGTCTTGCAAGGTGTTACATTGACCTATACCCTAGTGAAATGCTAAATTAGCACTTGAGCCTAAGTTAGAAATTCAGACAGTGTTCTTGACTGCTACATTCGAACTTGCACCGCCACTTTGGTTAGGCGTGCCCAACTTCTGGTGGAACATTTGATGTTGCTCTGGTAGCTCTGCGCGAGATCCCTGGAGAGCTCCCGAGCTAATACGCTGAGGGCTCAAGTTCTCTACAATGTGGAGGATCTGAACATCTCCCAAAATGATCTTACATGGGGTCGGGGGTCCTTCTTTAAAGAAGGTCCCCTGGTGGGTCCTCCCTTTAATTCCGATGTGGGATTAAAGTTTGGATCCCACCCCTTTAGGGTAATGGTCTTCCTCCGTTGTCTATTGTTGAGCCCTTGTATCGGGTGCCGTGCTCCGCGTCGGCGCCGTGTCTTGTGCGGGCGCCATGCCGCGCGCGGGCGCCATGCCGCGCGTGGGTGCCGTGCCGCGTGCAGGCACCGGGCGTTGTGCAGGCGCCGTGCCGCGCGAGGGCGCCTTGCCCTGTACGGGCTTTGTGCCGCGCGCGGGCGCCGTGCTGCGCGCGGTTGTCATGTCAGTTGTTGGTCCCGTGATTTTGGTAAGAGTCGGAGTCGAATAGAAAAACGTCACATGGATATGAGAATGGAAATCGTTTCGTGGTGAGTCCACCACACAACTTTCCAAAAATCAATGGCGTCGGCGTGGCGCTCTCTTCGCAGCTATGGCAATCTTGGGTTTCTAATTCACTCACAGAAACGTTCGAATCTCAGCGTCTCAACACATCGCCGGGAGACAAAGAAAGCGAAAAGGGGAATAAAATAGCCTTCGGTTTTTCCGATCAAACTGAATAGGGAGGGAAGAACTCAGATACCCTTAGAGACGAGAGAAGGCCAGAGCGGCAGAACACGTTACCGCGGTCAGAGAGAGAGAGAGAGAGAGAGAAAGAGAGAGCTGCAGACCTGTGGCCAATGACGTCGCACCGGCCGTAGCAGCAGCGGCGGCGGCGGGGGCCGAAAAGCTACATGCACCGGCGGTGGAAGGATCCTCGGCTGGTCTCGGGCACCGGCGTGAGGAGCAGGAAATGAGATGAACCGACGGTCACTCTCCCTCCTCTTTCTTACATGAGCAGGGGTTACTCGAGGAGGAGGAGGTAACCTCACCATGAAGTGCAGCAGATATGGGTGTGGGCCCCGTCCAGTAAATACCCACGTGGGTCGCATTCTCGGCACAACTACCAACCTGCCCCTCATCTTGGGCCCACCTGTGCAAGAATCCTCTTTTGAGAGACCACCACCACCACCAAGGTAAATAAAATTAAATAATTTAACATACAATGCATATTAATTTAGCTCATATCATTATTGGAAATATATATAATAAAATCCTTATGCTCCTTAACTCATGAACCTCTTCCTAGTGTGTGTCATTGTGGAATAAGAAGTCTAGTAGGAATCCTTGTTCTGATTTCTCTACTCAAATCCCCTAAGTTTCTCTGCTCAAGTTATTTTGTTTATATGTGGGCTGTTCACACATGGGTTCATCCCTCTTTCGGTTTCCCATTACCCAAGCCATGAGTCTCCTCCCAATAGCTATCATTGTGGAGTAAGGGGTCTCATTATGGATTCCTCCTGATTTCTCTACTGAAATCTCTATGCTTCTCTACTCAAACTATTTTGTTAAGCATGTAAGGGGTCTCATTATGCACTAGGGTTCAATCCCCGGATGAAGGAAGAGACCAACAAACACTGTGCCTTTTCCTTTTCTCTTTCTCTTTCCCTTTTCCTTTCCCTTTCCCTTTCTAGCAAGAATTTACATCTTGATGAGCTTGGTGGTTACATCCTTTCCCGGATGAATTTACATCTAGTAGTAGAAAGAGAGATTTCCTCTATTCTTTCTCAATAATCATATTATCTATGATTTTTCGCTTTGAGAACCTTGGTGTTATACCTTGTGCATATCATTGAGACTCTATATGATACTTCAGAGAAAACTTTACAGAAGGAAACACATTTGATTGTGCATTCTTAACCCATAGGTGTATCAGTTTTCTATTTCTTAAATAAAGAACACATATGCCGACATAAAACACAACATAGAAGATAGCTGATGTCCTAGACATTGTCCATCTCTTCATCATTTGACAACTATGATGTGCTCTTCAATTTGGGATATGTTTAATGGCAAGATATCTATTCCCAATTGTATTATGGCATCCATGATATTGTGATCTATGTAACATATAATACTATGATACTAAGAGGACAATTAATTCACATCTTTAATATATAACATTATAATTCTATTTTGATTAAATAAAGTAATGATGAGAAGCATATAAGAACGGTTTTTTGTTTTGATTGATCTTCTATATGGACTTCATTGTGAGGCTTCACTGATAATTTCAGGACACAGTTTGTAGTGTACTTATAATTAATGAACGATGCCCATGTATTACCTTTTTGTAGAAAGGGATTTTATATTCATTTTTACCCTTACATTGTGCCATATTCTGTTTGCGAGGGTTTCATTCGTGAAATGGGTTAATGAAAAGAGGCATAGTATAATACACCATATTTTCATGGATGTAAATAATATATTGATAATAATGTACCCAGAAAATGAAAAAATAAAATAAAATGAAATTAATTTAAGTTATACTTTAAAAATTAAAATAATGTACCCATAGAATATTGGAATGATAATGAATTCATTTATCCATTATGTTTATTAAAATTACAAATATAACAAAAAAATCCAATCACATGATCGATGTGTAGAAAGATAACTTAGATTGCTCATGTTACTCTACACAATGAAATTATTTAATCCACTAGAAACATCACACTATTTAGCATTCTCTTTGAAAAAGCATAGATCAATCTCTTCACATTGAATTCATCTTACTACTACAACATGTCTACCATTTACCATTTCTCTTCCATGCCAAAGGTTACCCTATGTGATATTCTTGGAAGGACAAATGGTTTGCTACTCTAGATAGATAGACAAAGAGAGAAAGAGAGGCGTAAAGGTTTACACCTATGAAACTATTTGTCGTGAATGTTGCATGCACTATAAAGTTTTGACCTTCAAGGAAATGATCATGATGTTATACTTGCAGTTGTAAGATGATTGGCCATAGTTACCCAATAGATTGTGATTCCACTCCCCATCATTGTGTGCATATGTTTCTCTGTGTCTCCCTCCATTCCTTGCTAGAAGATAAAATCCCTTACAGAATAAATATATTGTCAGAAACTGACTTTGTATGTTTAGGATTTTTGGTTCTTCCTTGAAAGAGAAGTACTTTTTGAATAGTATAGAAGTAAGGCAGTTACATTGGTGGTGAAGACCTATAATTCTTCAACTAAGCTACACAATATTCATATAAATGACAAATTCACCCAATATTTTTGAGATATTTCCATTTCCAATTCCCTTTTTGCATCCTTGTCTTGCCACACTTGGAGAACCAGATGTGCGTATTTGTCTAAAAATAGGGATTCTCTGTGAGTTGAATGCAATTTTCCATCTATGTGAGTCTAGAACGGAAACTAGGCACCTTCCCTGATCGGTGTCAAGAAGACATGTCCAGAAGTTTTTAGTTGGAAACAGTATAAACTATTGAAGAGAACATAACTAGGCAAGACTTGTCAAGGAAATTGTTTCCAAGTTTCTCTTTGTGCTCCAGAAAACGAAATAAAGAAAAAAAATAAGAATGAGCAGGCTGGGCTGGCCCGTCGACCTCCCAGCATCGTATTAGTGAAAGAGCCCGCCACAAAATGGACATTTTCTTTATTTATAAATACACGAGGGAGATTTGTCAACAGAAAAACGGCCCGTCCAAGCAGAATACCGTGACATATTACAAGATAATTACGAGATTAACAGCACCTCAAGTAGCTCCATTCCTTCACGTCCACGCTATATAAACCCCTTCAGTCGGGCTTCGCCGGCTAATCCCTCCTGCTTCCTCCTCTTCCCGCCACCTCTCTCTCTCTCGCTCTCTGTCTCTTTTCCCGCTAAAATCAAGAACCCAAGAACCCCCTCCCGTCTCGAGATCGGGAAAAATGGCCGTCCTCTCCCCTGCATCGGGCTCCCACCGCTTCAAGCGGCACCTTCCGGGTGGCATTTCGACGCCTCCGCCTCCGCCCAAGAACAGGAGAGTCGGCGCTGCCGACGAGTGCTGGGACATCTCCGACGATCGGTGGCTGCGCTCCGTGCTCGCCGGCGATCTGGCCGCATCTTCGTCTCGGGGGACGACGACACCGAGCACGTCCTCGATCACAACCCCTGCTGGCCGGGGGTTCAAGCTGGACGTGGGCGCCTCCTACCGGCCCAAGAAAGGACGGAACCCGCTGGGCGAGGACGCCCACTTCATCAGCGACGCAGGAAACGCCTTCGGCGTCGCCGACGGGGTCGGTAGCTGGACCCGACGAGGGATCGATGCCGGCGAGTTCGCCCGGCAGCTCATGTCCGCGTGCAAGGCCCAGATCAAGGAGCTCTCCCACTGTGGAATCACCGGGAGCCTTCTGCAGGGGGTGCTGAAGAGCGCTCTCGCGGGGACGACCGCTAGGGGAACCTCC